AATCATGCCAGGCTGAATCATGCCTGGCTGAATCATGCGTAGCTGAATCATGCCTGGCTGAATCATGCATGGCTGAATCAAGCCAGGCTGAATCATGCCTAGCTGAATCATGCCTGGCTGAATCATGCCAGGCTGAATCATGCCTGGCTGAATCATGCCTGGCTGAATCATGCCAGGCTGAATAATGCCAGGCTTAATCATGCCAGGCTGAATCATGCCTGGCTGAATCATGCGTAGCTGAATCATGCCTGGCTGAATCATGCATGGCTGAATCAAGCCAGGCTGAATCATGCCAGGCTGAATCATGCCAGGCTGAATCATGCCAGGCTGAATCATGCCAGGCTGAATCATGCCAGGTTGAATCATGCCAGGCTGAATCATGCCAGGCTGAATCATGCCAGGCTGAATCATGCCAGGCTGAATCATGCCAGGCTGAATCATGCCTGGCTGAATCATGCCAGGCTGAATCATGCCAGGCTGAATCATGCCAGGCTGAATCATGCCAGGCTGAATCATGCCAGGCTGAATCATGCCAGGCTGAATCATGCCAGGCTGAATCATGCCAGGCTGAATCATGCCAGGTTGAATCATGCCAGGCTGAATCATGCCTGGCTGAATCATGCCAGGCTGAATCACGCCTGGCTGAATCACGCCTGGCTGAATCACGCCTGGCTGAATCATGCCTGGCTGAATCATGCCAGGCTGAATCATGCCAGGCTGAATCATGCCAGGCTGAATCCTGGCTGAATCATGCCAGGCTGAATCATGCAAGGCTGAATTATGCCAGGACGAATCATGCCAGGCTGAATCATGCCAGGCTGAATCATGCCAGGCTGAATCATGCCAGGCTGAATCATGCCAGGCTGAATCATGCCAGGCTGAATCATGCCAGGATGAATCATGCCAGGCTGAATCATGCCAGGCTGAATCATGCCTGGCTGAATCATGCCAGGCTGAATCATGCCAGGCTGAATCATGCCAGGCTGAATCCTGGCTGAATCATGCCAGGCTGAATCATGCAAGGCTGAATTATGCCAGGACGAATCATGCCAGGCTGAATCATGCCAGGCTGAATCATGCCAGGCTGAATCATGCCAGGCTGAATCATGCCAGGCTGAATCATGCCAGGCTGAATCATGCCAGGATGAATCATGCCAGGCTGAATCATGCCAGGCTGAATCATGCCTGGCTGAATCATGCCAGGCTGAATCATGCCAGGCTGAATCATGCCAGGCTGAATCATGCCAGGCTGAATCATGCCAGGCTGAATCATGCCAGGCTGAATCATGCCAGGTTGAATCATGCCAGGCTGAATCATGCCTGGCTGAATCATGCCAGGCTGAATCACGCCTGGCTGAATCACGCCTGGCTGAATCATGCCTGGCTGAATCATGCCAGGCTGAATCATGCCAGGCTGAATCATGCCAGGCTGAATCATGCCTGGCTGAATCATGCCAGGCTGAATCATGCCAGGCTGAATCATGCCAGGCTGAATCATGCCAGGCTGAATCATGCCTGGCTGAGTCATGCCAGGCTGAATCATGCCAGGCTGAATCATGCCAGCTGAATCATTCCAGGCTGAATCATGCCCGGCTGAATCATGCCAGGCTAAATCATGCCAGGCTGAATCATGCCAGGCTGAATCATGCCTGGTTGAATCATGCCAGGCTGAATCATGCCAGGCTTAATCTTGCCAGGCTGAATCATGCCTGGCTGAATCATGCCTAGCTGAATCACGCCTGGCTGAATCATGCCAGGCTGAATCATGCCAGGCTGAATCATACCTGCCTGAATCATGCCTGGCTGAATAATGCCAGGCTGAATCATGCCAGGCTGAATCATGCCAGGCTGAATCATGCCAGGCTGAATCATGCCTGGCTGAATCATGCCTGGCTGAATCATGCCTGGCTGAATCATGCCTGGCTTTGTCATGCTGGGCTGAATCATGCCAGACTGAATTATGCCAGGCTGAATCATGCTAGGCTGAATCATGCCTGGCTGAATCATGCCTGGCTGAATCATGCCAGGCTGAATCATGCCAGCTGAATCATTCCAGGCTGAATCATGCCTGGCTGAATCATGCCAGGCTAAATCATGCCAGGCTGAATCATGCCAGGCTGAATCATGCCTGGTTGAATCATGCCAGGCTGAATCATGCCAGGCTTAATCATGCCAGGCTAAATCATGCCTGGCTGAATCATGCCTAGCTGAATCACGCCTTGCTGAATCATGCCAGGCTGAATCAGGCCAGGCTGAATCATACCTGGCTGAATAATGCCTGGCTGAATAATGCCAGGCTGAATCATGCCAGGCTGAATCATGCCAGGCTGAATCATGCCAGGCTGAATCATGCCAGGCTGAATCATGCCTGGCTGAATCATGCCTGGCTGAATCATGCCTGGCTGAACCATGCCTGGCTGAATCATGCCTGGCTGAATCATGCCCGGCTGAATCATGCCTGGCTGAACCATGCCTGGCTGAACCATGCCTGGCTGAATCATGCCTGGCTGAAGTATTCCTGGCATGGGGAATTCAGGGACAGGGAATTGTGACACGGGGAATTATGGCACAGGGTATTAAGGCACAGGGAAATCAGGCACTTAAAATTCAAGCACACGGGACTCAGCCAGGCATGGGACTGACTCAAGACTGACCCAAGACTGACCCAAGACTGACCCGAGAGTGACCCTACAGTCAGCCAGCAGCACTGACCTTTACAGCCCACCTCCTTCTCTCTCTGTGTGCGAGGACACGGCAACAAGGCATCCAACAGCCCAGCCAAGCCTCGCCTCACCCGTTGCCCAGACTCGCAAGTACCTACCAAGCAGCCCAATACCCTCACTCAAAATACCCCTCAAAACACCCACCTCCTTCTTCCTCTGCTCGTCCATGCAAAATAGCTGCCATGGGTCAACCAGCAGCCCGCCTAGCTTCGCTTGCTATTCACCAAGTGAGGTGACCCATGGCTCGCCCACATACATTTCATCACGCAACTTTCTTATCCCGCTGTTCGTCTTTCAAGAGGGAGACGGCAACGGGGCACCTAGCAGTCCAGCTTCGCCTGCAGCCTCTCGCGCACCTCCGGTATTGGTGATTCGGTGGCTTACCCAACTGCATGGGCAAGCAAGGAAGGTGGTGAGCCAGGCAGCAACCCAAGTGCATGGTGAGTGGATGGTAGGGCGACTGTTAGGGTGGTTTGCCACTGCCCTAGTGACTACCGACCTATGCATCAGTCCTAGGGGCGGTAGCGCAACGCTAAGAACGGTGGGAAATAGTGTCCTAAGGTGGGGAACCCACAGCTAGAACGGTGGGACGGAATCCTAAGGAACTATGAGAGGAATGAGCTAGGAAAGAGGAAAAACGGAATGGTGGGAGAGTGGGTTTCGGGAAATGTCGAGTAGACATTTCCGTAACCTAAAATGTCCAACCGCAACCGAACCGTGTTCGGTGCGGAAGGGACAAACGGGTTTCGGTTCCGGTGACGGTTACCGAATTCGGTTACGCGTGCGACTCGGGCTGAAACGCGGATGACGCGTTACGCGAGGCGCACATCACAAATCGAAATGCTTAAATGTGTTTGTTTTCAATCATTTTGTGTACTTCTCTGTTTTGAGTGAAATCAGTCTTGGAAAACCAGAATTCTCTCCTAGCATCTACTACCTTCAACGCTAGCCGGAGGCTATACCTAAACTAAGAGCTGGTATCAGAGCTTGGTTCTCGTCGCGTCGAGCCTCATTATAATAGCGTTGGAGGCGTTCTTAAATTTTAGAGTATTGAAACGGGCGATTATTCAACGACATGGGGAAAGGAGATGGAGAGGCCAGTTCGGGGTCCTCTGTGAACACTGACGGTGTGCAGCTGCAGAGTCTGCTCGATGCCCTTGCCAAGGGGCAAATTGTGGCCAAACCGACGATTGGCCTAAGTGAAGCTCAACGCTTCAATGGTGAGAACTTCGGCACATGGCGGTTGAAGTTCATGAGGCGCGCCCGGGAGGTAGACTTGTGGCATTTCTACAACCCAGCGGCAGCGACGGAGGAAGATGGACCTGCACCTGCAAGCGCACAAGAGAAAAAAGCGTTTAAGAAAAGAAGTCAACAAGCTTTCTTTCAACTTTGCCACTCGGTCTCGGATGCAATCGCAGCACGACTCGACCCGTTCTCCGAGGAGGACAACGCAGCAGAGAAGGCATGGGCCTACATGGAGAGAGTGTACCTTGGGAAGAGCGAAGCAAAAATGACAGCAGTGAGGACGAAACTCATTCTGCTGGCCATGGAACCTTCCGAGACGGTGGTGGACTACGTGGGCCGTGCTAAAGGCTACAACGACGACTTGACGGCTATGGGAGTGCCCGAATCGGAGAAGCAGATGATGAGCTACATCATTGGCGGCCTACCGAAAACATGGGCAGCAGAGAAGAGGATGCTGGCCTGCCGACGCCCGACGGACATGACGGACTTAGTGGAGTCCCTTCAAGACGTGGCGCTTGTACGTGCGGAGGAAGAACGAAGGGAGGCGCTGCCGGACAACTTCAGCAATGAAAAACCTGCAATGTTGAATGCAACCGGGGCAGAAAAAACATTCGGAGCCTGCTTCCACTGTGGGAAGAAAGGGCACAAGGCTGCCGAGTGTTACTCCAACCCAAGAAGCAAGAATTTCAGAGGTACGGCAGCAGTTAGGCAATCTGCCAACGAGGGAACAAGCGGAGGAGGACAACGACCGAGAGGCGGATTTGCTGGAAATTGCAACCACTCGGGAAATTTGGTCACAAGGCAATCGACTGCTACAGCAACCCGATGAGCAAGAGCTTCAGGGGAGGGCAGCAGCAGCAAAACAAACACGTACCTGCGAAGATCAACGCCACCGAAGCAGAAACCAGCAACGACGACGTCATCCTCGGGGGAGCCCACAAGGCCAATGTAGCACGAGCATCCGGAGCATGCCTGCTAGCAAAGGGCCTCAAAGGAAAGGAGTGGTACATGGACAGTGGATGTACCCAACACATGACCAACCGGAAGGAGTGGCTGAAAAATTTCAGAGCATCACCGATACCGTACGTGCTGTTGGGAGACGAGGGGAAACTTCCTGTGAAAGGGGAAGGAGACCTAGTGCTGCAAAGTGCTTATGGTGAGGTGAAGCTGGACAACGTGCTGCTGGTGGACAAGCTCACGCTCAACCTCATTAGCCAATCGCAGCTGGATAGTGGTGGGTGCAAAACTTTCAGCGACAAGGGGAGCATATGGGTCTTTGGAGCGGATTGGAAGGTGATAGCGGAAGGATCACGCAAGCAAGGGCTATACGAGATGAAGCTGCACGAAAAACAGAGTGGGGACAAGGTCACATACCTGGCTGAACCGGAAGCGGGTAAGGTGGCACGAGATGAGCTCCGCACCAAGCTCGAAAGGGTGCCGATCAAGGAGTTGCAGCAGCAGGCGCTTCCTATGGCTGCAGCAGTGAGCACGGTGGACGTTAACCTGCTACATCGGAGGATGGGGCACGCTGGTCACACTCGAATCAAGGAGCTGGTTAAGAAAAACATGGCAGCGGGAGTAAAGGTAGCTGAGGGTGGAGAGGAAAACCTGAAGTGCAGCACATGCGTGGAAGCTAAAGCAACAAAGGCACCACATCCCAAGCATGGAGCTCGTGAGCCGTACGAGACGTTGGCTATTGTGGCAGCCGACGTATGTGGGCCGATGCGAGTGGCTTCACGACATGGCAGCAAGTATTTTGTTACCTTCACCGACCTTGGCACGCGTCACACGTGGGTGACTGAAATTAAGAAAAAGTCTGACGTCTACTCGAGCTTTCTTGATTGGCAGGCGGAAGCGGAAAGGCAAAGCGGCAAGAAGCTGAAGGTGTTGCGCACGGACAATGGGGGAGAATTCGTCAACACCGAGTTCAACACGTACCTGAAATCAAAAGGGATTCGGAGGCAGCTCACCATCCCGTACACCCCCCAACACAATAGCATTGCGGAGCGGGTGAACCGATCACTGCTGGAGGGTGTGAGGAGCTTGCTCGCGGATAGCAACCTGCCTCTTCACTACTGGGGAGATGCGCTAGGCATGGCATGTTGGCTGAAAAACTGTTTACCGACAAAGGGACTAGCGGCGGATATTACCCCTCACGAAGCGTTCTACAAGAGGAAGCCGAATCTGGAGTTCTTACGTGTTTGGGGCTGCATGACGCAATACCGGGAGCCGGCGGGACCCGATCACAAGCTTCTTCCAAGGACCAAGTGGGGGATTCACTTGGGAATCTGCCCTGAAAGCAAAGGGTGGGTGATACGCGACGTGGAGACCGGGAAAGTCACGGCGACCAGAGATGTCACCTTCTACGAGCGTGACACCTACGTGGAGTGGAAGGGAAGGAATCAAGGACAAGGAGCTGTGTTAAAGGAAGCGGCAGCAGCACCAACCCCTGTGGAGGAAATGGTTGATGGGAGTGAGAAGGAGGGGATAGGGGCAGCCAATGGAAGCGGTGACAATGACGACTACGAAGACCACACTACGCCGGGTTTCGATTGGGTGTGGGAGGTCCAGGAGCTGTCCTCACCTTCAACTGCTGTGGAAGAGGGTGAAGAAGACAATGATAAGGGAGAAGAAGCGGGTGACAACTCAACGAATGAAGCCGGTGAGGAAGAAGCTGAAATTTCTGATGTGGAGGAGAGTGTGGCTGAATCTGCTAGTACGGGCTACTCCGACCCATGGCGAATCTTTGACACGGGGGACAATGAAAAGGTGGCAGCAGAGATTGAAGACCTACTTTCGGACGGTGCGATCGTCATTGGAAGGGAGATTGAAGGAGATTTCGTGCAACAAGGAGCGGATGATAATGCAGCGGCAGAGAAAAGTGGAGCTGAAAATGAGAATGAGGAGATGGGGAAAGGGAAACGAGTCAAGAAACCCAATCCTAAGTATGCCCAAATGCTTCTCACCTGCTGCAAAGACATCCATACCCACCTCCTCCTTACCACCACGGCAACGGCATTACTTTCAAAGGGGAAGGTGGAAAGCTACAAGCTGCCAGCTGAGCCTCTCACCATTGAAGAGGCGCTGTCCGGGCCGAACAAGGAGCAATGGAGAGCTGCAATCCAGGAGGAACTGGATACCTTGGCTGAAAGGGGGACATGGGAGCTTGTGAACCTACCCGAGGGGAGGAAACCAGTGGGGGTGCGCTGGATTTTCAAGATCAAAACAGGACACATGGGACAACTTGAGCGCTTCAAAGCACGTCTTGTGGCTAAAGGCTACACTCAGGTGGAAGGAGAGGACTACGACCAACTCTACGCACCCGTTAGCAAGCTAACAACGGCAAGGACCATGCTAAAGGTGGTCACGGCACGTGGGTACTTCATGGTGCAGCTGGACATCAAAAATGCCTTTCTCTATGGCATTTTGAAGGAGACTATCTACAAGAGGGAGACGGCAACGGGGCACCTAGCAGTCCAACTTCGCCTGCAGCCTCTCGCGCACCTCCGGTATTGGTGATTCGGTGGCTTACCCAACTGCATGGGCAAGCAAGGAAGGTGGTGAGCCAGGCAGCAACCCAAGTGCATGGTGAGTGGATGGTAGGGCGACTGTTAGGGTGGTTTGCCACTGCCCTAGTGACTACCGACCTATGCATCAGTCCTAGGGGCGGTAGCGCAACGCTAAGAACGGTGGGAAATAGTGTCCTAAGGTGGGGAACCCACAGCTAGAACGGTGGGACGGAATCCTAAGGAACTATGAGAGGAATGAGCTAGGAAAGAGGAAAAACGGAATGGTGGGAGAGTGGGTTTCGGGAAATGTCGAGTAGACATTTCCGTAACCTAAAATGTCCAACCGCAACCGAACCGTGTTCGGTGCGGAAGGGACAAACGGGTTTCGGTTCCGGTGACGGTTACCGAATTCGGTTACGCGTGCGACTCGGGCTGAAACGCGGATGACGCGTTACGCGAGGCGCACATCACAAATCGAAATGCTTAAATGTGTTTGTTTTCAATCATTTTGTGTACTTCTCTGTTTTGAGTGAAATCAGTCTTGGAAAACCAGAATTCTCTCCTAGCATCTACTACCTTCAACGCTAGCCGGAGGCTATACCTAAACTAAGAGCGACGTGGCTGGTGCTGCAGGGAAGGGAGGTTACTACAATAGCACTGCCACGAGTCACGCACCTGAGTCATGCACGTGAGCCACGCACCTGAGTCACGCACCTGAGTCACGCACCTGAGTCACCCACCTGAGTCACCCACCTGAGCCACCAACTCGAGTCACCTACCTGAGCCACCCACCTGAGTCACCCACCTGAGCCACCCACCTGAGGCACCGACCTGAGTCTCCCACCTGAGGCACCCACCTGAGTCACCCACCTGAGGCACCCACCTGAGTCACCCACCGGCACCCACCTGAGCCACCCACTCGAATCACCCACCTGAGTCACCCACCTGAGTCACCCACCTGAGTCACCCACCTGAGTCACCCACCTACGTCACCCCACACAGGTCTAAACGGTTGTTACGGTTGTATCTGAAGGGGGTGTATCCGGGTATGACGGCCTTCAAGACGTCACTTTCAGCGCGGTAGCTTTGTCGGGGGCAAATGGCACATTGTTTCACCTTTTTAGGCACAAAACCTACGGGCCCATTCTTTGGCCCTCGGACAATTCCGAATGTTGATGGCCCAGATCATTCCGCCCACCACCTGTAATACTTTTGAAAGAAAAGTCTTGTGGAGCGAAAGTATGATGGATAAAGGCGAAGGCCCATGGAATGGTTGCTAGGCTATATACATGAAGCATCCTATACCAGGTTGGACAGGCTAGGTGATACTGCTGTCTACTTGCAGGCCGCAATGTTAGGCCGGTCCAGAGATTGGACCCGCAGATTCTAACGCGGGCCAGCTGCACTACTAGGCTCAAATATGACGTGGTAAGTTTGAATTACTCGGAATTAACTCTAGTTTCCTACTTGGGCAACTTCGTGCCGGGGGGAATCATGACTTTATCCACGCCGTGAGCAATGAAGTACGGCCCAGCGTAGATCCTCGTGACCTTGATCGTCGTCCACGCAGCAGCAGGCGCTTTCGAAACCTTGGCGAACGACACCACGTTCGCACCTTTCGCCGAGATCTTGTAAAGAGCCTGCTTCAGCTGAGTACGAAGCGGCTGCGCCTTCTTAAAGGTCCTGAAGTTCGGAACGGTGTACTTTTTGCCGATAATGTGGTACGCCGTGATGTTGTAGATGGTGGGGATGTTGCTGCTCTTAGCGGGGATCTTCTTACTAGCGAGGGCTTCGGCTTCTGTGTTGCTGGGGAGGAGGATGGTGGCGTCCGCGAGGGTTGAGAAGTCGTATTTGGAGTTGAGCGCGAGGCCGATGTACTTGTTGAAGTCCTTGGCGTATTTCGCATACTGTGGGTAACGTTTCGTGATTGTGTTCGCCATTTTATTCAGCTCCGCTTTGAGCTGCGCCTTGGTGGGTTTGGCCTTGGGCTTCGCTTGCGCGTTTGCGCCAGCCGCGCACAGGGTGACGCAGATGAGCGAGAGGACGGCGAGGACGCGTAAACTAGTACTAGTAGCCATTATCTATAAGAGGTTGGCTGCACAAATCGACCTTTGGGGAGGAGTGTGATCTGGAAATTTCAAACCAAGCGTGGCTGCAGTGATATTTCAGCGAATGTCCAAATCTGCTGGTAAGACTCTGAAATTTGCTAGTGAAGTGGTGCCTATCCACTGATGCTCGAAGAAATTGTTGATGAAATTAATTAGACAGCGAGGAATTTGTTGGGAAGAGGGGGAGAGGGAGGAATGCTGATCTTCACGACGTTGGAATGCTGATCTTCACGACGCTGTAATCGCAAGGCCGAATTCCTCGCCACCCGCGAGCGCGGTGCGACGAAAGGCGTTTGCGAGAGCGACCCCGGTGTTTGAGGAAGATTTCGGCGGAGGGTGACAGGGAGGTAACTGCTGCGAGGCTGGTGGGGTTACAGCTGGAGGTAACGCGGAGAGATGAAAGGCGACAAAACGGTGCTGGGTAGATGGTGGTGACGAAAGTCTGGCGATGGTGTGGGGGAACTTCGTTGAGCTGGATTTCGCAGCGGCTGAAATCGGCGGACTTGTGAGCGCAAGTTGGGAGAGCTGAACTACATTGGATTTACGAATCTCCAGCGAGTTGTGTTACACAACCGTTGTGGCGAAACTCAAGTCCGACTGGAAACGCTTCGCCAGTAGTTGTGTTTTAAATAATTGGAATATTTGTATACATTACTATGGATCAGCTAAAAACGAGTACACACGTGGGATTCTCGGATGGCTAACATCCGAAAAAACCAGGGGGGCCAAAGTATGTTCAGAGTAACTGTTGGAGTTACGCTGGAGTAAATGTTCGGAAAGTATGTCTGAGGTTACGCCTCATTCTACTTTCTGAGGTGCGTGAATGCAAACTCGCCCAGTACACTCCCACATTCGAGGGACCAAACAAGCTTCGAGGTCGTTTAGGTTCGGAACTCACAGGATTGGTCGACTGGTTGGAAGTTTTCCGTCCAGCGATTTCGTTCATTGGTTTTCGAGTTGTGTGAAGGTGCAAGTCAATTGGCTCGTGCCCGCGACGCGAGCGAGTGCTCGCTCGATAGAAAATAATAATAGTAGTCACTGTAGATATTATTTTCACAGAAGATGACAGTACACTTTCAATCAGTACCGTCATTCTGAATTTACATTGTTGTATAAATATAAACCGAAACTGCAGTTAATTTATGAATTGCATACAAATTGAATTTCCGTGATTTGCAACTGCGTGTATTATAACGGATCCATACATTTTTGTCAGAACATTATAGCTCATGCATATTGTGTAGGCTATAGTGGGGTAGCCCATAAGGGGTACAACCCAATTAGGGTTATTACTTGTACCCAATTCATTCATAGTTCATTCATTCCTTGTTTCTTCTCATGGTATCGAGCAGGTTCCCCCGTGGGAACTGTTCCTAGGGCCCACCGTTTTTTTTTTCCTGCCCGGAGCGCACTCAGCCCCTGCCCGAGTCGCGCTCCCCTCTCTCGCGCCGCCCTAGCGGCCCCTTCGCGCCGCCCTCGCGGCCCCTTCGAGCCGCCCTCGCGGCTCTATCCGCCGCCCTTCGCGGCCCCTACTCCGCCGCCCTCGCGGCCCCGATCCGCCGCCCTCGCGGCCCCGATCCGCCGCCCTCGCGGCCCCGCTCCGCCGCCCTCGCGGCCCCGATCCGCCGCCCTTCGCGGCCCCGATCCGCCGCCCTCGCGGCCCCTACTCCGCCGCCCTCGCGGCCCCGATTCGCCGCCCTCGCGGCCCCGATCCGCCGCCCTCGCGGCCCCTACTCCGCCGCACTCGCGGCCCCTACTCCGCCGCCCTCGCGGCCCCGATCCGCCGCCCTCGCGGCCCCGATCCGCCGCCCTAGCGGCCTCCGGCCCCTGCTCCTACGGCCCCGGCGCCTGCTCCTACGGCCCCCGCGCCTACTCCTACGAGCAGCCCACCCGCCGAGCCGCCCAGCAACCGAGCAGCCCAGCCGCTGAGCCGCCGAGCCGCCCAGCAACCGAGCCGCCCAGCCGCCGAGCCGCCCAGCAGCCGAGCCGCCCAGCAGCCGAGCCGCCCTGCCGCCGATACGCCCAGCAGCCGAGCCGCCCAGCAGCCGAGCTGCCCAGCCGCCGAGCCGCCCAGCCGCCCAGCAGCCGAGCCGCCGAGCCGCCCAGCAGCCGAGCCGCCCAGCCGTCGAGTCGCCGAGCCGCCCTGCAGCCGAGCCGCCCGAACCGCCCTGTCCGGTAAGAGCAGCGCCTCTCTCACAGCACTGCCCTCACCCTACTGTTTGCACTGCTAGTCTACTGCTGTCATGGCTACCCCTAGTGTCCTCGCTTTTGACGCTGAGGGTCGGGCCATTGACTTTGACGTCTGGATAGATGACCTGCAGCTTTTCTTACAGTGCGACAGAGCAGACGGCCTCTCCCTCTTTGACCTCACTTCTGGTGCCTCTCCTGCCCCCGCTGCTGATGCTGACGCCACTGTTCGCTCACAGTGGGCCACGCGCGATGCTGCTGCACGTCTTGCTGTGCGTCGCCACCTACCTACCTCTGAGCGTGCGCACTTTAGCCAGTACAAGAGTGCTCAGACCTTGTACGACGCTGTAGTTGCACGCTACTCCTCCCCTGCCACTGCTGCACTGAGCCGCCTCATGCTACCGTACCTCTTCCCTGACCTTGCTGCCTTTCCCACAGTCGCTGACCTCATTACGCACCTCCGCACTAGTGACACTCGCTACCGCGCTGCGCTTCCTGCTGAGTTCTGCGCCAAGAACCCCCCCCCCATGTACATCACCCTCTACTACATAGTCACCCGTCTCCCTGACTCCCTTCGCGTAGTCAGGGACCACTTCCTCTCGGTTTGTCCCACCACTCTCACCGTTGACCTCCTCGAGAAGGCCCTCCTAGCAGCAGAAAAGAGCATAGTCGCTGTAGGAGCCTCTCGTGGTGACCCTCGCACCCCCATCTTTGAGGGGTGTTCCCCCTCCCCTCTTTTGCCCTCTGTTGCCTCTGCTGCTGCGGCCGACCTCGCTGGTTTGGAGTCGGTTGGGGCAGCGTCTACCCCTAGCGGGAGACGCCGCCCTGGCAGGGGCAAGGGGGGCAGGGGCGCTGGAGGAGCTAGCGGGGGCGGTGGAGGCGGCGGTGGAGGCGGTGGAGGAGGTGGGGGTGGCGGTGGGGGTGGTGGCGGGGGTGGAGGTGTAGGTGGCGGTAGTGGAGGCGCAGGCGGCAGCGGCGGTGGCGGAGGGAGCGGAGGTGGCGGCGGTGGAGGAGGAGGCGGCGGAGGAGGTGGAGCTGGTCGGGGTGGCGCTGCGCAGAGGGTCAGCTCCGGTGGTGGTCAGCGCCAGCAGGAGCAGCAGCAGCAGCAGCAGCGCACTCGTGACGTCCCCTCCCCTCAGCAGCTCCGTGAGTGGTACACTGCACGCCAGAGGGGTGGGGGTACTGGTCCGTGCACCTACGTCCTGCGCACCGGCGACCGCGCGGGTGAGCAGTGCGGGGGTGCGCACTCCACCCAGCGCTGCTTTGGCCGCCTGACGGACGCTTGGCGTCACCAGTTCCCTGAGGCCACTGAGATCCCCCGCTGGGGTGAGCTGTCTAGGGCGGGTGTAGCTGTCTTTGACCTTGACTTTGATGCTATTCTTGCTGCCATGTATACTGTGACTATTAGTGATGAGGGTGACTGTTACCGGTGTTTTCCGCCCGACCCGGGCATTGAGACTGCTGCTCTAGGTCCTGGTGAGGCTGCTGCTCTAGGTGCTAGCGAGGCTGCTGCTCTAGGTGCTCGTGCGTCTGCTCCCTCAGGTGCTGGTGAGTCTGCTCTCTCAGGTACTGCGTCGGCTTCGGCCTCCCACACCTTCACCCTTGACTCGGGGGCTTCTCGCTCCTTCTTTCGAGACCGCACCACACTCACGCCGCTTGGCCGGCCAGTTGCAGTCTCTCTGGCAGACCCCTCTGGGGGTCCTGTCCTTGCTCACTTCTCCACTGTCCTCCCGTGTGCGGCGGCCCCCTCTGGCACCCTGTCTGGTCTTTACCTCCCCTCGTTCTCTACGAACTTGGTGAGTGGTGCTGACCTACAGGATGCAAAATGGGATTGCTGAGCGCCGCATTGGCATGGTCATGGACGTCGCCCGTACGTCCATGATGCATGCGGCTGCCCCCCATTTTCTGTGGCCGTTTGCGGTTCGGTACGCGGCGCATCAGATCAACCTTCACCCCAGGGTCTCCATGCCGGAGACCTCCCCAGCTTTGCTGTGGACGGGGAAGGTTGGCGATGCGTCTGCGTTCCGTGTCTGGGGATCTCGGGCGTTTGTCCGCGACTTGTCTGCGGACAAGCTGTCCCCTCGTGCTGCTCCTTGCGTCTTCCTGGGTTTCCCCCCTGACGCCCCAGGGTGGCAGTTCTACCACCCCACCTCTCGCCGTGTTCTGTCCTCCCAGGACGTCACGTTCGACGAGTCGGTCCCCTACTACCGCCTCTTCCCCTACCGCACTCCGTCCCTCCCCCCGCCACCGCTCTTCCTGGTACCAGGTCCCCCCCCGGTAGACCCCCTCCCCCCTCAGGGTCCTGCCCCTTCAGGTGTGTCCCAGGTAGACGCTGTTGAGCCTGTCGAGGTCGCTGGTGACTCTGGTGCTGCTGAGGGTGCTGAGCCTGGGCGTGCTGACTCTGGGGGTGCTGAGCGTGTGGGTGCTACGCCTGGGGGTGCTGAGCCTGAGGGTACTACGACTAGGGGTGCTGAGCCTGGGGGTGCTGAGTCTAGGGGTGCTACGCCTGGGGGTGCTGCGTCTGGGGGTGCTGAGCCTGGGGGTGCTACGCCTGGAGGTGCTGAGCCTGGGGGTGCGGAGCCTGAGGGAGCTGGGCTTGCTGGTGCTGTGCCTGGCGGTTCTCCGGGTGCTTCTTCTCGCCGGGAGCCACTCTCTCCACAGGAGCTGCGTGAGTGGTTTGCCCGGCGCTGGAGGCGAGCTGCTGGAGCTGGAGGAGCTGCGGGTACTGGAGTTTCTGTTGCTGCTGAGGGAGCTGGTGCCACGGGTCCCGGAGGTGCTCGTAC